GCTTAGTTGGTTAAGCGTCCAACTTCAGCTCAGGTCATGATCTTGTGGTTCGTGGGTTAGAGCCCTGCATTGGGCTCTGTGGCGACAGCTTGGAGCCTGGAGCCTGCTTTGGATTCTGCGTCTCCTTCTTTCTCTGCCCCTCCCCTACTCACACTCTGTCTCTTTCTCTCAAAAATAAACATTAAAAAAATTTTTTTTTAAAAAGGGGGCAGGGATGGATATGGCAAGTGAAATGGGTCTCCTCATTTTAAGAGGAGTTACAAACCCAAAGCATAGCAGATAGGAGTGGGGCTGGCTTGGCTGGTGTAGTGAGGAGGCCCCGACCTGGACCCATACAGATCACACAATGAGTTAGGCGGAGCAAGGCCAAGGTCCCCTTCTGGTACTCCCCCCAGAATGCCCCATAGCAGCCTCCTCTTAAGTCCCTTCTCAAGGCTGGGTGAGCTCTGGGGGCTGGATGTGGAGGGGAACCCCAGGCCCCCACCTCTTTTCTCCTCTCACAGCCCGGGCTTTGGGCACTGAGCAACGAAGGCAGGCTTGCTCTAGGCCAGGGTCCTGGGTGGTGCCTCACCAGCCCAGCACCCTGGACAGCGCCTCACGCTGGGTCTCAGGTTGGTTTCTCTGGGTTGATGTCTGGTTCTGATAAAGCTGCACTTCTGTTGACTTCCTTGCCTCCTGTCTTAACTGTCCCTCTAAAGGCAGCCCCATCTCAGTTCCCTCCATTCACCACAAATTCGCTTTTATCTGGCTCCTGGAGTCAGGGTGAGAACATGGAAAGAGGCAAGAGGGCTAACTGGTGTCAGCCTGGAGTTTTCGTCTACATCACATACCAGCTGGAAAGGAAGAGGGTTTCCAGAGATCTTGGACCCTTCCCTCATTCCTCCCAACCTGGATCTTTCTCAGAGAGCTTTGGTGGGTTCTTGTGGGCACAACAGAGACATCAAAGAAATAACAGGGAAGGCAGGACTGTGGCACACAAGATGGCCGGGGGTCAGGGGAGAGGTGAGCGGGGCTGGCCCGAGGAGGCTACAGTCTGAACCCATACTCCAGCCAGGAGGTCCTGAGATCTTCTCAGCAATCCTCTTGTCCCCAGGCAGGCTACTTGGCACTGGTTTTGCTTGTCTTTAGACCCCCCAGCACCTGTCCTGTCTGACTTACCTTTTCATTTCTCTATCTGCCTCCAGGTCTAGTGGAGTCCCAGGAGCAGTCAGCACAGGGTGGAAGTAGTGGCTGCCATGGATGAGGATAAGCTTCCATCTGTACTACCTGGGGAAGGTGGTGCTGCCTGGGACCCCAGCTTGGAGTCTGAGGAAGAACCAGGGGCCGAGAATGGAATGGCACAGAGTCAGGACCTGAACAGTAGCTACAATAGCCCAGGGCATGAGATAAGGGGCACTCTGGTGGACACCGAGGAGCCTGCACAAGGCCCGAACGTGGCCCTCCGTGGCCTCAGCCTTGGCCTTTCCCTCACCAATGGCCTAGTCCTGGGGCCAGACTCAAACATTCTGGAAGATTCTACACAGTCCAGGCCCTGGAGGGCTGGTGGGCTGGCAGAGGGGGATGATGCTTCCAGGAATCTATGTCTGGACACTGAGGACCCTCAGCTGGGGTAAGTTGGTGTCTTAGGTTGGGGACTTGTTGCATTTGGCCACTCCAATGCCATATGGCTTGGGCCTAGCCACTTAGCCTCTCTGGTTTTTGTTTTTCTCCTCCATAAAATGGGAATTACATCTCCCTGTTTTGCCCGGCTTCTGGGTGTTTTGGAAGGCTGGAGCCATTAGATTTCAAAGGCTAGCAGGCCTGTTGTGCTCTCTACCCACAGCCCCCCAAACCATCATGGGCGCTTTCTATGTGGGGTCGGAGGGCCACACTCCCTCCTTCCCAGGCTTTGCAGTAGAGTTCCAAAATGCTTTGATGCAGAAGGTCATCTGGTCCAGCCTTCTGCTTCCTGGAGGTGAAGATCTCCCAATTCTGCAACTGACCTCAGAAGAGTAGGCTTCATGGGTTAATCCCTGACAGCTACCCCACCCCCTGCTTGAGTGCCATCCGGAGGTTCTACCAAGAATCTCACTTCAGTTCTACTAACTGGAGTTACGCTCCATTTCTATTATCTTCAGCAGGAAGCAGAGAGACCTACATGTCTTGGAGGTACTAGTTGGACAAGGAGGGTGGGAAAGGGACAGGGGAATGTCCTGAGAAAAGAAAGTATATAGAAGTCTTAGTGTGCACAGCTGCAGGCCCTGGCCTGGATGAGCCAGTGTGCATGGGTGGCATGCCTCGTGGTCTGGCCTGTGTATTATTGTGTGCATAGGAATGTGTGAACATGCTGATGTGCATGGGTCTTTGTGGTCGTGTGTTTGTGTGTGGGGGTTTGAGTGTGCCTGGCCTGTGCATTTGTGGGCACTTGGGTCTGCATGTGTCAGGGCTGAGTGTGGCTAGCTCTGTGGATAGGAATGTGAGTTTATGGGGTTGGGTGCCTGTGTGTACCAAATATGCTGTGGCTATGAGTGTTTCCATCCAGACAGGTCCTAGGGCAGCCACCTGCCTGGCCGTGGGGTGCAGGCAGGGGTCTGGGGCTTCTTGGAGCCTACGGCTTGTGTTTAGGTGCATATTTATTTGGGATGGCTGAAATTGGGGGTAGATGGAAGTTTGGAGATTGGGCTAATAGTCTTCAGGCCTCTGTCAGAACCACCTCTCAGGTCTGCTGAGATGCATGAGAAGGTGGGAGATAGTGGGATGGGGGAGACCATTCATGGCTCTGACAATGAGATGAGAGCCCCCCACTCCCACCACCAAGGGCAAGGATCTGTATTATTCAGGTATCTCTGGGACCTAGCATAGGCCTAGCCAAAGTGTCTCTGCTGGGAAGATTTTGAGTGTCTGCTCTGGTGACCAGGGCAGTGACCCTTTTCATCTGTCTCTTCCTCCTGGAATTCAGTAGAGGCAACCACACCAGTGCACTGTCACACTTCCTGCCATATTTTAGATTTCTGCCGTCCTCCCCAGTTCCTTCTCCAGCAAGAGAAGGCTTAATGAGACTGTGGTCTCAGAGCCTGCTGGAACTGGGGCAGGAGAAAGCTGGCTGTGACTCCAGCTTTTTCTCTCAGGTTGGTATGCTTCCCCAGGGAACACGCTAGGACCACATCTTAGATCTGGGGTTTAAGGAGGTGTTTGAGGGGTGGGGGTATCTCCCAGTCCACCTACAGCTCGGTGTCTCCCAGGCAGCAGGTGGTGGGGGAGAAGCAGCGTGCAGCTAATCCTCAGGGGCAGTGAGGGATGCACTTCCTTGCAAATGGTGGGTTTCAATTTATCTGAAATGGGCCTCCTCAGCCTGCTTCTTTCTTTGTCTGTGTCTTTTCCTCTTCCTGTCTCTGTGCTTCTGTCTCTATTTTTGTCTCTCTTACTGTCTCTCTTACTCTGTTTGTCATGCTTTGTATCTCTTTTCTCAGACATTTGTCTCTCTTATCTCTCTGTCTCTTTTATCTTGTCTCTCTTTTGTCTCATCTCTCTTGGGCGCTCTTTGTCAGTCTTTCCTCTTCTTTACCTGTCCTTTCTACTTACCTGTGCTTCTTCCCAGTGGATAAGAATCTTCCCAGGATACCTTGGTTTAGCTCTGTGTGATACTCTATTCTAGGTGCTGGGGATACATCAGTGAATAGAACCTACAAAAATTCCTGCTATCATGGAGCGTATGATCTAGTGGGTAGATAGATAATGAATCATAAAAATAATAATTATATAGTATGTAGGAAGGGGGTAAGTGCTTTGGAAAACCATGAAGTAGGAAAAAGGGGTAAGGTGTTTGGGGGCAGGTCTCAGTTATAAATGGGGTGCTCAGGGCGTATCTCATTGAGAAGGGGACAAGGAAGGAGGGCTTCAGCTTGAGGGAAGAGCACTGTGGGCAGAGAAACAGCCAGTGCAAAGACCTCTTTCAGGGATGGGACAGGGCCCTGCAATGGCTTAGGCAGCGTCTTAAGCCACAGGGCTGACTAACATTTGTTTGTTCACCCAGTGCACCATTCAGTAGGGTTAATAAGCACATACTATGTGCTGGGTGTTCCTTGGCCTTGTGGGGGGTGGGACTGGGGAACAGATGGTAAACAGGGGAACAAACAATATGACAGACATGCTGATGGGGGCTGGGAGGAAGTGAGGAGATAACCTGAGGATTGAAAATAAAGAGAGGGGCCAGAGTGGTGGGTGGTGTGGACCTGCCTTCCTCAGTCTCCCTGAGGAGGTGACATTAAGGCAAGGCCTGAGAGCTATAATGTAGTTGGCCAAGCTGAGAACTTTCAAGCAAAATTTTGACCCAGAGTTACTCTAGTTTGGTAGGGGGATGCCCATGCATTCTGGAAATCCTGGAGGCAGCAGGCCCTGTGCCACCGTGGAGGAAGAGGCCTCCCATTCATTCATTCATTCATTCATTCAGACAAGTGATGTCTACTCTAAGCCAGGTCCAGGCAGGCACTGGGTGGGACCACGCCTGTCCTTTTCACTGCCAAACCCTCGTACCCAGTCCAGGACCTGACACCTAGTGCTCAGTAAGTATCGGCTGAAAGAATAAACAGGAAACAATCCATGTCTGCTCCTGTCCCCGGGGAGTTCCCAGACAGATTGGTGCAGTCCTAGCACCTGTAACGGGGGACACCACAGGAGGATGGTGACTGGTAATTGCATCCCACAGGTCGGGTGGCCCTGGAGAGCCAGATGTGCGGGATGGCTTCAGTGCCACATTCGAGAAGATCGTGGAGTCTGAGCTGCTGCGGGGCACCCAGTACAGCAGCCTCGACTCCCTGGACGTGCTGAGCCTCACGGATGAGAGTGACAGCTGTGTCAGCTTCGAGGCCCCCCTGACACCCCTCATCCAGCAGCGGGCCCGTGATAGCCCTGAGCCAGGGGCTGGCTTAGGCAATGGGGACATGGGGCCTGAGGGAGACATGGGAGCAGCTGGTGGTGATGGGGATCTGGGCAGCCCCCTGCGGCGCTCCATCTCCTGCAGCCGATCAGAGAACGTCCTGAGCCGCCTGTCTCTAACTGCTGTGCCCAATGGCTTCCATGAAGATGGACCCCCGGGTCCAGGTGGGGAGGAGGAGGAGGAGGAGGAGGAGGAGGAAGAGGAGGAGGACACAGACAAGTTGCTGAACTCAGCCAGGTGAGGCAGGACCTAGGTTGGGAACTGGGAGAACCATTGAGCAGATGGGGAAACTGAGATCCAGAGCAGGCAAAGCAAGTTAGGGCAACCCAGTGCACCCAGAGAGAACAAGGTCTCTCTGAGGTATCGTGTCCTTCTTCTGCACCCAGACTTCCCATCCTGGTCCTGAGGTTCCATGCTGCTCTTCTAGGCCTCTCTGGCCTTGGTGGGGCCAGGGAAGTATGCTGTGGGTCGTGTAGCTTCTAGTCATCTCACTGAGGGGCTCTTCTAAATGACTTGATTCTTCCTGATGCACTGGAGCTTCTTTCCCTGCTCTGGCTCCTGCGTGGGTTTTCCAAGGCCTGGGGAGACCTTCCAGCCTCCACCTGGGGCTTCTGACCCTGGGCCTCTGACCCCTTTTCTCCTGTCCCCACCTTCCCTGTGCAGTGACCCCAGCTTAAAGGATGGCTTTTCAGACTCGGACTCAGAGCTGAGCAGCTCGGAGGGGCTGGAGCCTGGCAGCACAGACCCACTGGCCAATGGGTGCCAGGGGGTCAGTGAAGCTGCTCGCCGGCTGGCCCGCCGCCTCTACCACCTTGAGGGCTTCCAGCGCTGTGACGTCGCCCGGCAGCTAGGCAAGAAGTGAGTCTGTCTCCCGTACCCCCCCTCCCCAGGCAAATCCAGTGTCCTCTCAGCCTGAAAGGGGTGTGGGTGACTTCAGTGAGGGGTGCCTGGTGTTGGGGGGCTCCCAGTAGTCCCCAGGAGCTCCTCCTCCTGCCACTGTCCTCATTCCTGGCCTTGCCCTAAATCTGTTTCCTTTCTGGGCTGCCTGGGTGAAGGCCCATGCTCTGGGGGGCGGGGGAATATAGTGGCAGGGCGGTCCCTCGGGGCTGGGGAATGTGATGTGGCATGTGGTTTTGGGACCATGATGATGGTAGTGAGGACACAGCAGTGGGGCAGGGCAAGGGAGAGGAGAACCTGCATCTGCCTGGGACCCATGAGCTGGGAAGGGGTTCTTGGCCCTCATTAAACCCTACTCTCAGTCTTTTGGGACTGGCTAAGGGGGCTGAAGCTACCAAAGCACAAGCCCTGGCCTTGAGACTATGGAAAGGGGACTAGCCAGATGAGAGTCCTGAGGTGCGCAGTGCAGAGGGTGGGGGTGAGTAGGCGGGGACTGTGAGGCTAAGGGAATCACGTGGGGCATCCTGAGCATGTCTGACCATCAGCATGGCCACCTGCCTTTGCCCTTCCTCCAGAGGGCCTCCCACAACCACATTAAGGCACTGAGATGAGCGGAGGCAGTCATAGCCCCCAAGGCAGAGGGGACAGTCCAGCCCCTAGACCCCAAGTCAGAGCTTAGGTCACAGGGGGGTGTTGAGGACAGCTCCACTTGGGATCCTTCCCTCACTTCTCTCCCCCTCCTTCCTCCTCTACCCTTCTCAGCCTCCATGTTCCTGGGCTTGCCTCCTAGCTCTGGCCCAGACATCACAGCAGGACTTCGAAGCCCTGCCTGTCCCCCTGGGCTGTAGTCCCCACCCCCAACCTAATAGCCTTCAGGAGGCTCCTCCAGGAGCCTTGGTTGTGGTTGATCTGCATCCTCCTGTCCTTCTGACCACTCTGCTCCAAGAATTTCCTTCAGCATTTAACTGCTTAACTACGCTTGTCTCTCCCATCTGTAAAACAGAAATTCTTCCTCAGTTACACTTCTTCTCCCAGCCTCTTTGCAGCCAGAATTCTGGGGTTTACTGCCCTGCGTGGCCTCAGCCCCCTCTTCCTCTCCATATTCAGCTCCTGGGGCAGGCTTCTTCCCCACCCAATGCCTGCAGCAGCCCATCTAGGCCAAGGCCATTAGTGGCCTTTGTCTTTGAATATAGTGGCTGCTACCAGGCCTCAACTTACCTGGTTCAACATCACAGACACACACCCCACTGCTTTTTCCTTAAATTTTTTATTATGTGAACTTCAACCATATACAAAACCAGAGAAAATAATATATTAAACCTCCTTTTAGGGGCACTTGGGTGGCTAAGTTGGTTAAGCTTTCAACTCTTGATTTTGGCTCAGGTCATGATCCAGCCCCACAATGGGTTCCGTATTGGCCTCTGGGCTCTGTGCTGACAGTGCAGAGCCTGCTTGGGATTCTCTTTCTCCCTCTCTCTCTCTGCCCCTCTCATGCTCTCTCTCTCAAAACAAACAAACAAACAAACAAACAAACAAGCAAAGAAACAAACATCAACCTTCCCTCCAATCTTCCACATACCCATTACACAGCTTCAAAGTTAATAA